GTTCTAAAGTGAAACCACTGGGCACTGCCCCCGCTGTCCTGCCATCGGGCTAGACATGCTGGGGACAGGAAGCTCCGACCTCGCAGACCCTGGTCTGGCCTGGCGTGCAGGGTGCCCCTGTCTATCAGTGGGTGGGTTTAAGTGTCCCCGAACCACACTGAGGCCCGTCAGGAATGTGCGAGGAGCTTGCTTTCATCCCTCTGGTCTCCTTCCCTTTCTTAGGGAAGGTCGCACCCCCAGGGACCACCCTCAGCCATTTCGCACGCCCGTCCTGGCCACTGGACCTGACTGCCTCCTACCCGGGAAGCCGGCCTCGTTGCCCACACACAGCAGCCTCCCACTCCTCCCGTGACTGGGGCCAATCTGTGCCTCACGGACCCTGCTGCCACCGCGTTTGTAGGCTGTGTCCGATGAGTCGTCAGGGGACGTCGGCCTGAGGAGTGGCAGAAGAGGCTGAGTGGAGGCCGTCCGCTGTCCCTCCGCTCCCCTGCCGGTGTTGGGGTGTCCCACACGTGTCCAAGTGTTGGAGGTGTGGCCTACGGTGGGGAGCGAGCCTCTGTGACAGCGCCACGCTGCCGCTCACTGGATCTCGTGTGGTCAGGGTCCCAGTGGTTAGGGAGATGGTGCGGGTGCACAGCCATGTGGGCGTGGCCCAGGGCTGCCACGGGAGCTGCCAGAGGGTCCCGAGCATGTCACGCCTCAGCTGCGTGGGGTAGGGTTCCTGGGGAGGAGAGCAGTGGCCAGACGCCTACCCGCTGGGCTGTCGGTGGGTCCTCTAACAGGTGGGGGGGCACCACACCCACGGGCTGCCAGGTGGCCGTAGCTTGGCAGGGGAGCCCTGCTCTGCCTTCCCCTCACGGGGTACCATGGACAGGGCTGAGCGAGCAGGAACAGCAGGACAGCGCCTTCCTGTGGCCGCGTCCAGGAGCAGTGCCGGTCAGCAGGCCAGGCCAGTGGTAGACGCAGCTCAGGACAAAGACCCCAGACACCACGGGCGCCCTCCGAGAGGCTGCGTCCCCGCACCCATGCCGGGCCTCATTTCCTGTGGCATGCCAGGGCTAGACAGTGCTTGCTCCTCAACGCCTCGGACAGTGACCTCTGGCCACACCCAGAACTCCCCGGAGGTGCCCACAGGCCATCCCTGGGCGTCCTCTGACAGGCAGGACTCCATGTGACTGGAAGACACGCAAGCCCAGTGTCCGCGTGGGCACTGCTCCCTCCTGCTCTCCTGACCTTCCTCCTCCTGAGCCCTGGGCCCAGCCCTCCACACGGCAAGGCGCACCCCAGGCTGTCACCCTGCAGAGACACAGCTCCCGCAGGCCGGCCTGGAACGTCCGGGCCCCTTGGACGACTGCCCTCCTACTTGGGAGCACCAGTCTCTCACCACAAGACCCTGCACCACGGCCCACACCACACCTCGTGGCCGTGGCCGTGGCCGTGCGTGAGGGCACGTGTGCGTCCCGCTGCTCCAGCCCTCACCCCACACTGCCACTGGTGCTGCCGCCCGTGCCTGACACCACATGTGCCCTCCTCCGGGAGTCCCGCAGGCCTTCCAGCCACTGGAGCACCCCTGGACCTCAGTGTCAGCTGGGGCGTGCTCCAGTCGAGCTCTGAGGTCGACACCCTGAGATGGCCCCGGCGAGAGAACCCTCAGCCTCCTGCACTTCTGCATCGAGTGTGAAGGAGAGCACGGGCCCCGAGCACCGCAAAGGAACGGGGAGTTCTCGCACATCGCTTTGACGTCCCTCCCTGCTTTGCTCCCAGACAGTAAACTACACCTGCTTTTCAAAAGGGTCGTGGTCGTACCAAAGGTGTCCTGCCAGACTTCGCTCCCTGTCCCCAGATCTAGCCGGGCACGCCAGGCACCAGTCATCCACGTGTCTCTGTCTTTGTCTTGTTTTTCCTTTTTCCTTGGTTTTCTTTTACCTTTCTTACTTTCCTGAGTTCCCAGACAGGTCTGGTGCCAGCAGCCAGTGACTTCTAGGGGCCGCGTAAGCCTCGGTTCCCGTGGCATCTCCCGCGCAAAGGGAGAAAGACGGGCCATGGGGACACGGCAGGCCCCCTGTCCCTGCATGCCTCTGAACGCTCGGATTTCACTCCAATAGCTAGGGAAAACATAGTCCACCAGATGACCAGAAACCACCGCAGAAGCTCAAAATACGAGAAGCCAAGAAAATAGCTCTTCCCTAAGGGAAAAAATGACCTTCATCGTGTACACACAATACCACAGAACTCATGCAAACGTCAGATAAAGAATTTAGAATATCCATGGTGACAAAGCTAACGGAGATGCCAGAGAAGAGAGAGAATGGACTCCAGAAGATGCAGGAGAAAGGACACCGAGTTCCAGGAGGTGAGGAAGTTCCTGCACGACCTGAAAGGGGAGATACACGCCATACAGAACGGAATGGAACGCTTAGAGATGAAGGCTGCAATACAGGACATCAGAACTTCCCTTGAAAGTAAAAGCAGATTAATTCATGCAGAAGATCAAATCTCAGATACAGAAGATAGAACTTCTGATCTAGGGACCAGCAGTTAGCGTAATGGCTATGTCGCTGGACTCCCACGTAGTCAACCGCAGTTTGAGTCCTGGACCCAGTGGCTTAAACTCACGCCAGGCGCATGTGCGTGCCCAAGATCCCGAGAGGAGAATGGAGGAGAAGGAA